GCCTGCTTACTCTGGAGCTCCATCAGAAAAAATTCTCAGTTCCTATTCAATCCCTGGCCCTACTGTTCCTAATATTACTAAGCAACTATCTTCTCTTCTGTAAGCCTTTTCAGCTTGTCCATGTGATTTCTGCTTACAACCACTTCTACAATTCGTTGTTATCTACTGATTTCTGAGCCTATCATCTTTTTCTGTCTTTCAGCTACTATTTTTACTGAAACCTGCTGAATCCTCCTCTAGAGAGAGGATTATATCCACTCATATTCTCCAAGAAAGGAATAAATTTGTTAATTAATTACTAATTGCTTCCTTGGGCAAAGGTCTTACATTCAGCTAGCTCATAGGTCACTGTTTAGCCAGAAGTGTTTATTATGCTCTTGTATCAGATGCTGAGCCCTGTTCCAACCAGGCATCAGGAGTTACAGCAACAAAGATAGAGGCTTGTGGCAATAGAGCCCTGTAGACGGCAACTATAGGAGACAAACTTAGAAATGGATGGTGGATATCGCAGACAACCTGATGCTTGGTTGACTCAGGAGGAAGATGCTACAGATAGATTAGAGGTGCTATAAATGGAAAAAACAAAAATGTTTTTAAAAAGTACTGACATCAACCACAATACTCTCTTGATATAACTTTAGATAATGGTTGGGGGAGGATGAAGAAAGATAGAAATAAATATATTTATGTACAAATAAATATAGCCAGGGAAAGAAAACAAGTAGATCTACTTCACAGGAAATGGTCTTTCCTGAGATGTATATGAAGAAATTCCAAAGACTTTCTCTTCTCAAATACATGAATACGACATAAAGAATGTACTGAATGTGATGGTTAATTTTAATGTGTCAAATTGGCTGGCTAATGCAGCCAGTTAAACAAACATGAATCTAGGTGTTACTGTGAGGGTATTCTGTAGAAATGGTTAACATCAGGGCCTCCCTGGTGGTGCAGGCGGTTGATCACAGTGCTGTGAAGCTGTCCACAGCCTCTGCGGCGCGGGTTTGATCACCGCCAGCCAGCAGGTGAGAACCCCACATGGTGTGACAGACCTCTCCTGTCCCACCCACTGCAGTGTATTTTATCAGTCTGCCTGTTCTGTTCCCCGCTCTGTCTCTGGTGAATCCTCTCACCATCCCGCAGATCTGGTCTATGCCCCAGATCTTGCATAAATAAATAAATAAATCTTAAAAAAAAAATCTGCAACAGCTGACTTTAAGTAAATTAGGAGATTATCCTCAATAATCTGGATAGGTTCCATCAGGTGAACGATAAGAGCCAAACTGAGATTTTCCTGAAGAAGGAATTCTACCTCTGGACAACAGCAAAGTTTCTGGTCCGCTAGCCAGCTTACAGATTTCAGACTTGGCAGTCCCCAAAATCATGCAAACCAATTCCTTTAAATTATATAATAAATACTACAATAAATATGCAATTATAACATTCTGATTGTCCTCTGGTAGAACCCTGTCTTATGCAGTGAGTATGGAAACACATGTGAAATTTGGTATCCAATGTAACTTCTTATCAGTCGTTCATGCCAAGAACGCCAGTCTCCTGTGGTGTTTCTTCATGTGTATGCTCTTTTTTCTGTTCTGTTCAATTATTCTCTATTCTTTCTTCCACCACAAATTCCTTCCACTCCCTTATACCCTAGATACTATTGCAAGCTCTCCATGAAGCCATCTCCAAGGACTTTAGCTCCTTTAGTTCTATTCTTTCTCTAAACACCCTCAGTAGATATTAGCTGTACCATTCACTGTTATTCTAAATTTTAAGTAGCTCACCTAACACTGTTTTGTAAATAGTTCCACCACTAATAGGTATAGATTTGCAAGTTCAAATTTGGGTGTGCAATAAATGTCACATTTTTTGTTAAATTAAATTTACCACAGACTTAAGTGATTGCAATGCTAAATCTGCTTAAGTAGAAGGAAACGCAGTCACAGTCATTGTTGGCCTTCCCTCCCTACCTAGGAATGCACAAATATTTGAAAAATGATATTGAGCCTAGAAATCAGAGCTGACAGAGTTTGGCATCCTCATTGTTCAAGAGTATATGGTCCCTAGAAGTCACGCAATTCCTCTGCACATGAACCAAGAATGACAGGGGAATCCAGCCTCCCTGAGGGCATCATGCATCTCTCTGAGGTCTGGATATCTTCCCGGGTGTGTCTAGGAAGAAAAGCTGGTGTCACCACTACTGGACTCTTATCTAGTTTGGGGAATTGTTTCTTTTTCTAGAATTCTGCCTACCCACCACCGCTCCTTTCTTCTTGCTCTTGCTCTCATTCTTTTTTTTTTTTTTTTTTTTTAAGATTTATTTATTTGTTTATACAAGAACCAGGGTACAGGCCAGATGCGCAGGAGGGTGAGAGGATTCACCAGAGACAGAGCGGGGAACAGAACAGAACAGAACAGAACAGAACAGAACAGAACAGAACAGAACAGAACAGCAGACTGACGAAACACACTGCTGAAGGGAGCAGTGGGCAAGACAGGAGAGGTCTGCCCCACCATGTGGGACTCTGCTGGCAGGCCAGGATGGAACCCGCGCTGCAGAGACTGCAGACAACTTCGCAGTGCTGCGCTAAACCACCTGCACCACCAGGAGAGGCCCCTTCTCTCTCATTCTCTTGCTCCCCAGATGCCTTCACTTTTTTTATTTTTCACCTCCTAGCAAAATGTCCTTAAGGAACAAGGAACCTGGAGGGAAGATTGCTAGGTATAATTCCAGGGATTGCACTGACATTTCAATCTAAGGAGTTATGGTCCAGAAGGCTTCATTTACACTGGAGTGGTGTCCCCCTACAGTAGTCTAAGAGTCAGTTTCTGACAGACAGCTTCTGCCTAGGAACACAAAATTCCTTTGAAGTCTGTTTGGAATAGAGGAGAGGAGAAATATAAGGAGAACGCAAGCCAAATTAATAACTTAATAAATTATTCCTTTACACTCATTTTTTCATTTGTCCATGTATTTTTACTTTAAAAAAAAATGTGTGGGCTCAAAGATCTAGTTCCAATTAGATTATGAGCTTCTTGAAGATTAGAACAGTACTGTATTTGCCACTTATTTAAAAAACTCTCTGCGATTCCAGAACGATAATTTGCATGTAACAAGAACTTAAATGTGCCTTGAAATGAACTGAGGAATGAGAGTTTGCGGATTACTGATTAGCCTCTACCAGTTCAGGCTGTACCGATACTAACTTCCTCTTATAGGATTGGCTCTGGTGTCTTTTCATTGTCACTTCTAGAGTTAAGTAAATATGCTTTTTCTTTACCTGCTTCTGTTCACAGCTGCTACTGGCCTGAATTTTCAAGATATCACATTTCTACTGTGGATCTTTCTGGTCTGAAGTAAAAGTAAACACTTCCTTTAAAATTCAGACAGATATGAACTTGAGACTTCTTTAATATAAAGAGAATTGCAGATCACAACATAAACATGTATATGGTAACAACAGTGGAAAATTTCTAAGCAAAATCAAAGCAGAACCTGGCATTCATTTTCATAATACCTTTCACTTGAATAGCCAAATACATTATGAGAACTTTATCCCATTAATCCTTAGAGATAAGTAAAGGTACCTGAAAGAATGGCTTGTATCGATAGGATTGCATAGCCAGGTAAGTGACAGCGTTGTTCAAATCCTGCTGCTTTGCCCAGTATTTGAATAGTTAGGCGATTTGGCACAAACCATTGTTTAATGACATAATGGAATATGTGTGCTTTAGCAGGCGAATTCACATTTTACATCATACTTAAGTGAGCAAGTATGGCATTGAGAAAATTTACCCAAATTTGCCAATATGCAATTGGTGTTTGAACCCTCCAGCTTTTTCTGTTGTACTCTTGCTTCCTCTCTTATTGGCTTCCTTTATTTCCTCCCTACTCCCCTCTCTCTAATGGCAATAAAACTAAGACTGAAAACTCAGTCACATTACAACATTGGAAATTAATATATCAGTTCCCCCAGGACTACCTGCATTTTGAAAGACAATAGCCTAGACTGATAGGGACTTTCTGATATGGCAAGGATTTTTTTTTTTTTTTGAGGTGGAAAACTTCTTTCCTTATCCTGTTAAATAATAACATACAATTGATTATATATACTCCTAGAGGGAAAAATCTGTGATGGAAGAAAGCAGAGGAAGTAATGATCAGGGAGAAAGAACATGAGGAAATACTCGATTTTTATTTTTAAAGGAGAATGGATAAAACCTTATCTTTTCCAGATCTGTAAACCACCATAATGTGTGGAAATAAAATGAACATTTAAAGTACTTAACCAACATTATCACTAATGAAATCTATTTTAGGTTTCATCTTCCGTCAGAATAATCATAACTAGTATCACACAGCGACATTCGGTAAAATGGACCATGTCTCCCTCCCCTTCCGTCTACACTCCATTAAAGATCTGAGTACAGAGCTAACACTGGGTCATGCATTATCTGCTCATCCCTTGTGCCCTTTCATGGCTGCACACCAGTGCTCATGCTGCTCCTTGACCTAAAATCATCTTCCCTCACCACTATGCCTATTGAATGTCTATTCATCCAATGAGACCCAATTCAAATGTCAGCCAAGAAGCTTTCTCCAAATAGCTCTTTCCCCCTGAGCAGGACCAATTCCTCTCTCCACTGTCTCCATAACATTAGTAAACATATTTTAGAACTCATCATCTCATATAATTAATATGTTATGTTTCTCTGTTTCCCAGGATGTGAACTAATTCAAGTTGGGACAGATTTTATTCACTTAGCCAGTTATTATTTTCTATGCCCCAAACTAATACACATCAATACATGATACATGCATATGCTACAGTCTAGATAATATAAAAAATTATAGTTTGATAAAGGACGCAAGTTTTATGCACATAAGAAGCTAGGAAAATTAAGATTGGTAACTACTGAATTCTACAAATACTAAACACCCAGGAATAAGGAATTGTGTCCCATAACTATTAGGAAAAATAAAACATAGTCGCTACCTTTGAGGTGCTCACAGTCCACATTGTAGAAGGTCTTTATATGTGGCAGCACTTCTGCAGCTTAGATATCTCTTTATACTTCTCCTCATAACAGTCCTGTGGGATAGATTATTATTTTCATTTTTATAGAGATGGAAACAGAGGGTTTGAATTCTCAGATGTTCTGACAGCAAGACCAGAGTTTTTCTCCCCCCACTACATCAATGTTTCTCAAAATTTTCTACTGGAATATACTTTCATAGGGAGAATAAATTGCTACTTCTCACAGTTGGGAAATACAAGCTTAAAATATAGACTGTTATCTTAAAAATTCATGCTTACTATAATGTTTTTCATTACTTCTCACTGGGTGAAATGAAGTTCTGAGAAAATGAGCCACACTGATTCTGGGTCCTTGAGGGTCCTTAATACATGGTTTCACAACCACAGCAGTACACATACAATTTAAGAAGCACGTGGCTAAATGTCACCTTTATTCAGGGATCTCCCCCTTCTGGGGTGTGACAACATGGAGCCATCATTCTCTTTTGGCAAGGTAATTAGAACCTAGGGGACTTGGCAACTTTTTTCAGTGCCTTTTTACTTCCTCCATCTTTCCCATGGATAAATATCTTAGATGTACAGTCAAGATTGTTTGGTATGACCTTAGGATTTGACTTGAATCCAGACCCAAGGTTCTGGGTAACTTCATCAGGTTTCTTTTAGGTTTCTGCTAGGGTAATTTAATTCACAATCCTTTCTGAAGGTTAACAAAACACACTGTACTTCCAGATACTAATTGTGTAGTGGATGCTTACCCTTTCCTTCCTATAAGGTGTCTCATTCTGGCAACTAAAGTCTCTGCAGTCCTATATTGCCTGTCATACCTCTCATTACTGGTTGAACCTAAAAGAGTCCCAGATACTTCCTTCAACAGCCTCTTGGTTCAAAAGGTTCCATAATGCATCCTTCCTTCTCAGCACTGCCACTAGAGTGCTGCTCAGGGTTGTAGCTCTGCTGAGCCCTCTAGTGGCTGCAGAGGTGAACTGGCTCTTTCATGGAACCTATAAAAAAACCTCTTCAAAAGTTGCACTCGGGAAGTCAGTCCATGTGACACTCGGTAGCGAAAGTCTTTTTTTTTTTCCTCTAAGTCTTGGTTCTCAGTTTCCTTTACTTAAGGCCTTTGGCAGGTCTCAGACACATGACCTTTCTTGGATGAATCTCCTCTCCCTAGGCTCTTCCCTTTGCAGGTGTGACAACGTGGAGCCACCATTCTCCTTTGGCAAGGTAATTATTAATAGAACTTGGGGGGACTTGGCAACTTTCCTCAATACCTTTTTACTTCCTCCATCTTTCCCATGGATAAATAGCTTAGATATACATTTAAGATTTTTTTGCAGTATGATCTTACTTTCAGTATGACTTGCCGGCTCTGGAAGTAGACCTCCAGGCAGGATTCAAATCCTGACTCCCTCATTTATTAATTGGGTCACCTTAAAATTATATTTAACCTTTCTAAAGTTTTTCTGTTTCACCTGTAAAGTAAGGAGCGCATGAGCACCTACATTATAGTTAGGGGAAGAATAAATACGATAATATGTGGGAAGGGAAGTGCTAGGCCTGACACACTGAAAGTGTTCAAAAACATTACATACTTGTATTCTTCAAAGCTTCTGTCTAGTGCATATGATGTCTATCAGTTGGGTACAGAAAAATACTGTTTATATAGGACACAAGTGTACATCTACAAAATGAATTCATAAACAATCTGTGTTTCCCTATAGTGGTTAAACTGACAGTGATCATAGGTTATGGAAAAGGAGGCTCTTTTGTGCGATGCCATCAGTGCATCAGAACACAGAGACACCCAAGAGGCCTGGACTCCCCATGCAGGAGTTATGTTTGCACACAAGTGTCTTCCTCACTGCCCCCCACCTCCATTCATCCCACCATGTGCCATCTTTCATGGGGAAACTGGCAGTAGAACCTGTGGGCCAGGCTTGAGGGAACCATACAGAGTGCAAAAGCAAAGGGATCTAGGCCAAGGCTGGGAATTGAGCACTCCAAAGCCCAGAAAGCCGAAGCCAGATTCCTCACCCATCATGCGCCTAAAGGGTGACAAGAGTCTCATGCCCAAAGTCCAGGCACGGCAGAAAAGTGGTCAGAAAATCTGACAGGTAGAAACCTAGAGGAAACTGACATAAAAGTTAAAGCTGAAGAGCTTTTAATAACTACAGGTCCAGAGAAAGGTCAGTGTGAGCTGAGCAGCTGTTCCATCTGGTGCCAGAGGCCATGGCTGTTGTCTTCTACTCTCTGTTTAAGCCTCCCTGATCAGCCCCACCTAGAAAAGCCAATTCTTCTGCTCTTAAAGGGGACTTGCTTGTTTGTGGCAGAGAGTCTCTTCTCAATGGGCAAAGCTCTCTCTCAAGCATGAAGGGGGGTGGGGAGCGAGAGTGCGTCCAGGGGCTCAACTGGCTCCGAAGCAAGGAAGGAGTTTCTATGGCTGGAGGCTGAGCCTCCATGTTGTGAGAACAGCATGCGTTTCTTTCAGAGGCAGGCAGGGGCCTCGGCTGCCAGGGACCCTGACAAGCCAGGACTTGAGCAGTGCCTTGGAGCTTGGGTTGGCTAGAGAGCCATACACAGGAGGGAGGGCATTCCTGGAAAGGGGGGGTTGGGGGTGGGGGGGTGTGGGGAACAGCATGAGCAAAGCCTTGAAGGAAGAATGAATCTGCAGCGAGTTGAGAATGGCTTGGAGACTTCACTGATTGGAGCCGGGAGTTCTTGCAGGGGGATGGAGGCAGCTACGATTGGACAGCTAAAGTGGGGCCAGATTTGGAGGGCTTTGAATGCCCGACCGAGAAACCCTCAACCCAGCTCCTGCCTTGCGATTTCCGTTCAAGACAGAATTACCTAAAGGGTGGTTAATTCCAACGGGTGTTCTTCTTTGGGGGCTCCTGAAAAACTCAGCTCCCCCTCTTACCTGCTTCAATTCTCCTCATGTATCCAGTGAAAAAGTAATCCTCGCTTGTCGCGGGGAGAGGGGCTGCCGTGGATTCATTTCACATTTCACCTTTCTCGCTTGGAAGGTGCAAAAACAGAAAAATCCCACGTCCACGCCAACTAGGAAATTTGGTTTCTCCTCCTCACGCAAGTTCTCTCCCCCCACGCCTCCCCCAGCCCGGCCAGTCCCCGCGCGGGCCCCGGCGGCGCGCGTTCGTGGCCCGGCCGGCCCGCGCCGCCCTCCGTACCCGTGCGTCCCCCTCCCGGCCCCCCGCGCCCGCGCCCGCACCCCGCGCCCCAGGTCCACGCCCCCCCGGCGGAGCGGTAGGTGTTTTGCCGTCTGCGCCGGGCCGCAGTGCGGCTGCGCGCGCGGGCTGCCTCCGGGGCTGGCAGGGCCGAGGCGGCGGCGGGCCCGGAGCGGGCGGCGTCGGCGGCGCGGGGAGTGGCGGGAGCGCGGTGAGGGGCTGCAGCCGCGCGGGCCTCCGGAGTGGCGCGCCCCGGGGGCGAGAAAGGAAGGCCGGGCCGCCGAGTGCCCGGGCGACCGTCCTCGGAGGATTTGGGGGGGAGCCTTGCCCCCCCACCTCGTCTTCAGACGCCCCCTCCTCACTCCCCCCCGCCCCGGCCGCTGACGGGAAGAGGCGGCGGGGGGCTGAGGGGCGCCGCCATGCCTCTCCCGCGGTGAAGCGCCCCGGCGGTGAGGAGCCGCGCCGTCTCCCCGGTGATGTCCCCCAGGCGGCGGGCGAACGCGACTCACTCGAGCCCTGGGGTAAAGGCCTAGTTGATCCAGCTTCCTTCCTCCTCCTCCTCCTCCTCCTCCGCCCCTCCCCCTCCCCACCCCGGCGCCCTCCCCCTCCCCGCGTCTTCCCTCACCCTTCCCCGCGCCCCCATCTTCCCTCCCTCCCTCCCTCCGGCCCACCCCTCCAGCCGCGATGGCAGAGGAACAACAGCCGCCACCACAACAGCCTGATGCCCATCAGCAGCTTCCCCCCAGCGCCCCCAACTCGGGGGTGGCTCTGCCAGCCCTCGTGCCTGGGCTGCCAGGGACAGAGGCCAACGCGCTGCAACACAAGATCAAGAACTCCATCTGGTAAGAGGAGCCTCCATCGCTGGGGTTAAAAAAGCCCAGCACATTGCTGCTGCTGCTGCTGCTGCTGCTGCTGCTGCTGCTGCTGCTGCTGCTGCTGCTGCTGCTGCTGCTGCTGCTGCTGCTGCAAAGGGGGTGGGGGGCGGCGGCGGGCGGAGGAGCTGGGAGGAGGTGGCTGATGCTGCTTCCATTGAATGTGGGTATCCAGGGTCTGGTGCATATTTATAGGACCTCTGGATGTGTGGGGACTTGGCTTCAGCCCCCCGGTTTCCAGAGCCTGAAAATGCTGCTATCACCTCTCTCAATTGTGAGTGCAGATAAGCAAATTACTGGTGTTTTTCACTGAGGTGTGCGAGGAATATGGGTCGAAATTAAGGCATTTTGCATGATGGCAGCTTGCATTTGGGGCTGGAGAATGGGAAATGGGTTTCCTCCTTTTTGCAGTCATAGAAGGAGGGAGAGTGTATGGTGAATGTTAACCAAATCCTGGATCCTGGTCCTACGGGGAGGAAGAATGGTGTTGTGAATTTTCACCAAGTAGACATTGTGTGTAAGAATATTAATATGCAGCATAAACCTAATGTGTCTTTCAGTTGGCTTAGCTGTTCTTTGTGGATGTTTTTGGCTTAATTCTGACGTTAAATTTCTCTTCCAGAGATTTTGTTGTTTGCCTTGATTGTAAAGAAAGGGCTTTTGGGTGTATTTTAAGATGGTAGTTAGTACTACCACCTTAAAGTGATTTTTTTTTTAAATTTAAAAAGATGTCTTTAATTTAAAATAAATGTTTTACCATTTCGTGTGTCTTTTTTTTTTTTTTTAAGAAATCATAGTTGAAATATCCTCTCCAATTCTTAAGTTTTTTTCTCTGAGAATTTCCAGTATTTCAGCATTAAACTCTGAAATGGTGGGTGATAGTCTTCTAATAATTAAATACAAGCAGTTAAGTCTGTCCTATGTTACAGCCATGCAAATATTCTTTGAATATAAACTTGTATTATTTTTGTGGGGTTCTCATTTAACTGACTTTTAAAAGTGCAGTGCTAGTTCTTTTTAAAAATGAAAGCAATATTTGGAATTGGGTCTAAGAGATTGCTTTTAATAGAAGTTTAAAAATAGAATTAAATGTGTAAAAAAGCTAATTTAAAAATGAAATTTTGCATGTCTATCATGACTACTAACATATTAAAGCTTTTATATTGCCATTTAAAAATAAATGTATCACAAAACAACTGTATTGCAGCACAGTATTTATATATTTTAAAGCAGTGACAATATTTAAATGCAAAATCAAAGTTTGTTATATAGTAATTTCCACTATTTTCTTGGCATACGTATTGTCATGATGCTAATAGGAAGTAGGTCAGTGCAGGCTTTAATAGTTTCATTCTATACAAAAGTTGGCAGTTGAGTATCTTGCTTTCAGTTTTATTTTTAAAATGAAGTTTAAATATTTTAAAAAGGAGGATTTTTTGGCTTTGACTTTGGTAAGTGGCAACTTGAATAGGTCAGATAAATGGTAGAGTGTGTGTGTGTGTGTGTGTGTGTGTGTGTGTGTGTCAGTGGGGGGGAGGGGAGAGAGTGAGAATTGATGGATACCTTCATTCACCCCTTTCTTAAAGTGGTAGTGTTGGAAGAGATGGTTAATCTCACCTTCAAGGTTTCAGAAACCAAAATGGCTTTTCCCCACTTTATTAACTGGATGTAACTTTGTGTCTCTGAAGTCATGATTGAATTAAGCACCTTGGTTTTTACATTCAGGTAAGGGAAATATTCAAGTTAAAGAACTAAAACCTTTTAAGAAAAGAAAATTTTGGAAGTTGAATTAGTAATGTATATTTTAATTGATGAGAATAGTAGGTAAAAGGAAACCTCACTTATCTTCACTTATTTTTAAAATAAGAGTGAGTGATAACTGAAGTATTTGAATATTGTAACAGAGTGCTCTTTTGGTAAAGTTGTGATGAAATTACTTTTAATTGATAATTCACATTCATACACCCATTACAACTTAATTGTGCTGACTTTAATGTGAGAAAAACATATCCTGAAATACAGTACACTTCAGGTTTTGATACTTTCTCTAAAAAAAATGTGAATAAGCACCATAATTCCCAAGTACAGTTTTATCCTTTTTTTAAAAAATTGTAATGGCACACTTACTAATACTTGATTTTCAACTTTTGAAATCCTATTTGTAAAAATGATTTCTTTATATTTTATAGAAAACTTCAGAGTAAACAACATTCATGAATAATAGGCAACATTAGTGAATATATTTAATAGGTAGTCGCAATGTTCCTTGCTCCTAAAAACTGAATTTATGTTGTTACTATGTAAAATAAAGACATTAAAAGCGAAAGTTCCATTATACCCTCGCCTCTCCAGAAATAGTGTATATGTGTTAAAATCATTTTTAATAGATTATAATTCTTTAGGTAACTCATTTCACATTATTTGAGAATATCAGTATTTTTTTACAGATTATTTTATCACGTGATAATGCTCTTACTACTTCCCATATCAAGCTTTGGCACCATTACTAGTGAGAATTTTTAATTACATTAAACAGAAATGCCTTATTTACAATTCATCAAATGGGTTTTGCATTTAGATTCGTTACAGTTCCAAAATTACTGGACTTGCAGATCACAAACAAGTCTGTACTTGTCCTATTCTACAAATATAGATGTAGGCATTTAGCTAGACAATGAGTTATTATCAGTTCATAATTAATTTATTAAACTAAGTGCTGTTTGATAAAAGTATGACCCTTGTCATTTAATTATTAAGCGAGTTTTTAAAAAAATTAAGTATTGTTGAAATCATGTTACTTAACAAGGATCTGAAACTGTATTTCTTAAGACTTGGAAATACATGTTTATAAGGTAGTTGCAGAAAATAAAGATTCCACTAACTTGATAGTGTTATAATACCTGTGTAATACAAATATTTTCAGTTGATTTTCAACTGAGCTCACACCTTTCTTAATGGTCTTCATTCCCATTCCATAGACAGAGGACCAAATCACTACACTCCTTAAGACAGAAAGAAGATTATTTGCAGAGTGTCTTTTAATAGTGAATATTCTGTAAGATTGTTATTTATATTTTCAAGACAATAGAACTCTAATATGAACTTTTCATTGGAAAAAGAAAAATAATAACCCATGTCTTTTTTCTAAATGAAGGCCTATATGGCAACCTAAAACAAAGTGACAGTCCAACCTTACAGCAAAGTTATTTTACTTATGTTGCATTCCTCTTTTGGTTACCTAAAAAAAAATATCAAAGCAAGTTTTACCTACCTCTTAGCTCCCACTGTGTTACTAATTTGAAAAAAATTGTATTTTGTTTACAATTTAAAAATTGTATTTTGTTTAGTGCTTTTTCTTCTTCAAAGCAGTTTAACTTGAAATCCTGAGAGAATAAAATTGCTTTGGAAAAGACAGGATAGAAAAAGTGTGGTTAGTTATGTTTAATAATAATCTTACTACCCAGGGAAGTGATTAATATATCTGCAAATACGCTGTAACACAGAAAATAAATCATTACCTAGAAGCTTGAAAGAAACCCTGATGTTTTATTGTAGAAAATATTCTGAATAATACAGTATTTACTCAACAAATTTATGGCTTTTTAAAAGAATCATTTATTACTGTTATTTTTACTTTTTAACTATTTGCAGATAAGAACTCATCAACTATTTCTTAAAGTGGTATTTTAAGATGTGTTATTCTAACAACTCTGTGGAAACAGATGAATGGAATAATGGAAGGGATAGTATTCCTCTGATTCATCTGAGACCTTATAAGTCTCTTATGAAAGATACACTTGGAATACAAAGGCAGCGATGCTGCCTGAGAGCCTTGTCTTTATTCAATCCTATATATTACGTAGACTGCTGAATCTGATACATTTTGCACATAGAATTATGTATGTGGACCATTTCAAATGTTTTGTAAATTCTAATTTAAACCCAAATTGAGCAATTTTGTTTTACTTTCTTACAAATGAGCAAAGAATGGTGATCTATAAAGTTTACATAGTGATGCCATATTAGTCCTGATTTATGCCCTCTATCCTAGA